TACAAATCTTTTAATAGAAAAAAATTATAGCGAATATGAAAAAAAATTAGTTTTTTTGCTTCCTGAATAATTTCTAAAAATTATTGATTTTGTCTTCTAGTTAAACAATATTAATTTTTTTGACAAGCTCAAACCAGGCAAAAGAAATAATTACGTGAACAGGAGATTTTTCTTATAAATGCCACCAATTTAATGAAATAATTTCAAGAAATTGCCGAGGAGGAGAATAAACAGACAAAATATACTGTATTACACAAAAGTGAAGCTGAGCTTCGTACTACTTGCGATTGAAAAAAAAAAGTAAAAAAAGCAAAACGTTGAAAAAACTAGTTCTACCACAAAATAAGTTTTTGTTTGTCTCGATAGAAGTTCATTCTAGGGGAGCATGCCAGAAATTTGAGTTTTGATTTAAAAACGAACAAAACATACGAAGGGGAAACAAAGCCAAAAAATTTTGAGCAGACACAAGTTCACCAAAAAAAATTTGATTTCATAATTTTTTTACTGTGTTAAGTCCATTTAAGACTAGAATGCGCAACACATGATCTTTCAACTACAACAATGTGGAAACAAGAAAAAAAATCGAGAAAAAAACTACAGGAAAAAAATCACTGATGTGGCAACTTAGCCGACAATATTTGAGAAGACACCTGTTGAGAAAAAAAAATTGAATCACAAAATTTTTCAAATGTTTCAAGTCCACCTCCTTGAACCTACGCAGAACAACACTTGAAAACCGATCAACGCCCAAAAAACATTCAAATATAGCTAGACGCAAAAAAAACGTAAGTTTTTTCTATTAGCAAACAAAAAACAAAAGAGGGTTTTTTCAATAGTTTTTTTTTGTTGAAACTGCTCAAAATTGGAGAAACTCAACAAATGCATTAGGAAAATTAGCAGACCGCAACTCAACTTGACATTGCAAAGCGATGAACTGAAATAGCAGTTTTCGTTAAAATAATTTAAAAAATTTGAATTTAAAAATTTCAGATTTGCTGGCAACTTAGACTTGCTTGGTCCTCATTTTTCATTTAAAATAATATGGATTAGAAAGCGATGAACCAATAATTTGAATTGTTGTGAAAAATTGCAAAATTTTATAAGTTCAATTAAAAACCAGAAGAAACTATTAAAAAAATAAAAAAACAAAAGCATCAAAGGTTTCAAACGAAATTATTATTCAAACTGGAAAACACAACGCAAAAATACGAAAATAAAAATTTTTTTTTTTTAAATTTCACAAAAATTGTTATATTTTTTTTCATGTTCAAATTTTTCACTTTTATTAAAAAAGTCTATGAAATTGATTTGGAAATTTTCAAAATAAAAAGTAAGAAGGAATTGAAAAAGAGTAGTTCGGATTCGGAAAATAAGCCGACACAGTTAAAGCCGACACTCATGCGCCGCAAAGATACCAAAAAAATTTGGCACACAAAATACTATTAAAGGAACTCATAACAGACACGCAAGGCCCATGCCTAACATGCATCCATTAAATTCACCTCTCCAGTAAAACACGTTTATCTTTTTCACGTTCAAAATCTGTGCCCAAATTTATTTACGGGAAAAAGTCTAGTACCCGATTGCAATACCCTTGCTTATCGCAAAGGTAAAAAACTCCCGAAAACCATACACCAATTATTTTTCAATATCATGGTTGAATCAATGATTTTCGATTTGTGTGAAAGGTGGCTATATTTGAATCAAAACTTGTGCAGTGGAAACTAAGCAGGCAATATGAAGACAAACGAGTCTGAAAACCATTTTTATGGGGAAGTTTTTTAGTTATCAAAAAAAAAAATTGGCCGGGCTCAAACCAATAATTTTTGGGTACGCCAAGCATGGACGTTACCTCTCGGTTAAACGTGTGGCAACATCTAAAACATTCAATGACTATGAACCGAGCTATCATATGAGTATATGATTTTTGTAGACAAGTTGCCTTCTTGCAAAAAAATCTTTGCTCTGACTCAATAACCTTGCTCAAGAATTAAAATCTTATTATTCAGTGATTCTTGTGCTTAAGTTGCTTACCTCCGAAAAAATTTTTTGCTTCGATTTGATAACCTCGCCAAAGATTTCACACAGAGGCGAACTGTAATTCGCAAACACTTGCGAGAACACGACCAAAAAGCAACTCCATCAAGTGAAAGAAGAAAAAGTAGAAATAAGCCTTGAATTAGCAAAAACTCGGCTATGTGTCGGATTTGAATCCGCTTCCTGGCACGTTTGATTCTCATGCACTAACCACTATGCCACGGATGCTTAAAATCCCCAAAAACTAGCCACCAATAAAACAGCTACTCGTGCTAATAAATTGCCAATTCGATGCACAAAAGTAGAATTAAATGCAAAACGACCACATTCTGCATAAATTGGAAAGCATAAAGCCAAATTATATATAAGTTATGCATTCCAAAAAAATTGCGAGATACATTAAGATGGAAAAATTCTGAAATTGAGCTTCTTATTGTTGAATGCTGTTTGAAACAAATATTTTTTTTCGGTTCATTTGATGAATTAAAAATGCATGTGGTGTTACCTTTTTACTTATCAAATGTCAAAGCATATTTAATATTATGTTGCTACCAGAATCTACTGATACAAAAGAGCCACCGAAAGTAGAACTTTCAATTGCGACTAAGGTTGGAAAAAAAGTGTGTACCAATACACTGTGCTTCGCAAGTGTAAAAATCAAATCGCTGAAAATAAAGTCTAGCGTGAATAATGTTTAACACAGAGGCACAACGAAGCTTCTCACAGCTTGCGATGCAACATAACAAAGCAGTTCAAGGTAGCAGACATAAGAAGAAAACCAATAGATCCAAATAAAAAAAAACACTTCAAAAAACACAAAAAAAATTCAAAATGAAGCCTGGAATTATGTTCTATTTGCGGAAAATACGTCCAGAAACACAATCAACGGCAATTAATGAAAGTTCAAAAAATATCTACGGTATTTGACCCTACAAAGTTTAAAAAATTGTGCATAGAATCGATATTGTTGTCACTAAAAAACTTGGAACCTATACATTTTCTAAACTCACTTATATTTGTCTATACATATTCCACAAACTTTTTTTCTGTTTTTAGACTGCTTCAACGAGATCTCAAGGTCTTCTCTGGCTGGCAGCCATGAAACACTCCTACGCAAATGAAACAACCATTTTAAAGATGCTGAAAAGGAATTGCAATTCATGAACTATATAAGTAACAATCGTCAAGCATGCAACGAAATGCGGAAACAGTATTTTCAGTAAAAGTTTTCACAATTGAAAAAATTGCTGTTTAAGTCCATTATTTGCATTCATCTACTCATCTACAAACCGGAAAAAAATGAACCATTTTTTAAAAGCGTTTTTCAAATTTCAACACAGAGGCAGAACGAGGCTCCGCACCACTTGAGATACAACATAAAATTAGCAGTGCAATCTAACAGACAGTAAGAGAAAACCACAAAAACCAAAAATAAGAAAAAAATAACACTTCAAAAAACCTAACTGAAAATTATCAAAATGTTGTCTGGAAGCATGAAACACAATCGACAAAACACAATTCAAAAAATACATAACAAGCTGCAACTGAGCCGACAAAACTTAAATGATTTCCCGTAGAACCAAAAATGTGGCTGCCATGAAAAAACTTCGATCGAACCATAATTTCTTTTCTAAGCATTTAAGAACTTTGTTCGATCCGGAATGAAGCTTAAAATTTTTTAGCCGAATAAAAGCAAAAAATAGTAAAAAGAAAAACGTCAAAATATACAAATTTACGGCTAGTAAAATCAAAATTGCAGTAATTCAAATTACTAACAGTAACTACATTGAAAATTGGGTACAGAAAAATCAGTTCTACGATGTGGCAAGTAAGCTGACAAAACCAAAGCAGACAAACTATATAGCCGACAATTTGTTTGGAAAAGAATATTTCCAGTTTAAAAAGAAGTTCCTAATCAGATTAGAACCCAGGACCTTTGCCGTCCCAGAATTATTCTTCTCCTCCAGGCTAAGTGCCGGACAAGCAAACATTCAAGCGATTCTGTTAAAAAAAGCTGCTAACCCAAAAACTCTTACAATCCGGTTTGATAACGCTTACTCATCTTTCAAGATATTTTCGAGAAAAAAAAACAGCAGATCAAAAAACATATATTGAGCAAATGTTGTTAAGCTATTAGTTTTTTGATGCTAACTTTTTCCGTATCTCAATTTTTGCTAAATTGAATGATGTTTGCAAAATTAAATTGGACTGATTTGTTTTTCACAGATAAATTGCACTTCGCATACACAAGCAAAAGTCTGACCGGTAACGCTACTGGGAAAAACTAAATGAGTAAAACTTTGACTCTACAAAATTTTATAAGTGGCGCACGCCAATTATGACGCATAAGCAGTGACGGTCAGTTTGGAAAAAAAACCAACTAACATGCCTGAGTTTATACAGCTGACATATTTCAATTAGTATACGAAAAAATTGATGTAAAACATCCGAACCTGCCCAGGTTCGAACCTTTTTTTTGTTGCGGGTCTCCTTCCCTACCTCTACGCTACAGATCCATGCTACCTTGAAGCTAAAGTGCTATTTGTAATATTATAGTCTGTGTTAATATCCTTAGCATTGGCTGTACTTAGTAGCTGTTTATTGATCAAAATGAACTCTTGCAAAATGAGCACACTTTGTGGCAAAAATATTTGCGTTGCAACAATATTTGCGACTTAGGTTGGAAAAAAGAGTTTCTCACAGTAACACAAGCTTTGCTTGTGTAATAAGGGACCTCTTGGCCAAAATGAAAACGTGCACCCAAATTTTTGCCAGCAACCTGCTAATCTTGTTTTCTTTCCAAAAAGTTTTTTTTCTGAAATACTTTTTTACACTTGAAGGCCTACTGCCAAAAACGTGTCGATGGTAAATTTTATTCATCTGCGAGGAAAGTAGCTGCACGATGCAATGTTATGATATCTGCTTAGCCCAATCCCATATTTAACTATCATAATTTCTCTATTCCAATTTATAGAAAGAAATGACTTTGTTGATAGCGACAAGCTAAGCAGAATTTTTCCATACCAGCATCATTTCCATTTCATTTGAGGTATATCTTTGTTAAATATTTCAAGGTAGCAAATATGCCATTTAATTGTGCCAGCACTATGTAGTCAATTTGCAATAAATTATCAAAGGTAAGAAATTTTTCGAGCAGATAAAACTACTTCATGACGGGATAGAACGTAGAAGCCACAGATAAATATGTACATTCACAAGACATGGTAAATGAAACAAAAAATATCAAGTCGAGCAAGGTTATAACAAAAACGATTGCAAGATTAACTTGAAATAAAAAATTCACATTTACAAACTAGAGTGTGCATTAGAATAGAATAAGAAATTTTTACACAGCCTTAAATCTAATTCAGGCTCTGACACTAAATTTAAAATCTCATTAGAATTGCACGAATTGTTCAAACATCTCATGCTTTGGGTAGAAAATACGATTTATCCACTCACTACAAAATTGCTTTTATCCTTGTGACAACCACTATTGCACGGAAATTGTTCATGCAATTATCTCTCATAGCATCTTAATGCAGCCATAGAACTAGTAAACTAAGCATCTTTCAATGGAGCGGATTGGTAAAAAATATTAAGTTTTTGGGTCTGAGGAGTTCAAGTTTTAAATCGGAGTTTCTTCGTCTTTGCAGTCCACAAGGTGACCTTGGATGGGATCCGCGACAGGAGTTTCACTTCCTAGTTTTCCCGTTTCACTTTCCTGACCTTCTGAGACCTCTTTGGTTCCGAACTCTTCCAGTCTGTCGCAAGAGTCGACTCCTCCGAAGCAGTCGCGTTCCTCAACGTCATCACTGCTCTCTCCCCGCTCTCCCGCTGACTCTTCATTCTCCTGTCGATACTCCCCTCGCATCTCCTCATCATCCGGATACGCTCCTTGGACCATATTCAAACCATCTTCATCGTCAAAAGAATCCCCATTTTCCTGCTCTTCATTAGTGGAATGTTGTGCAACCTCGTTTTGGGTGTGGAACGGGGATCCTGGACTCTCGTGACTCGGCGATCCCTCAGTCGGTTTTTGTGACCTGTCGATAGGGGGCGGCTGGCTTTCTTCTGGACTTTCTTGACCGGGTCCGATCAAATCGTCAATGTCATGATCATAATCGTCATTCTCAGCGTGCTCTGAAATCAAAGTTCCGCTGACTCCCGGCCCGTATGATATATAAATATCATCGCTGTTAATAGGTTCCCTCTCCGGTGGGCTAAGATACTCTAAATTCTCATTCGAATGATCGTCTCGTTGCTCACTGTCTTCGTGTTTCTGATCAAGGGCATCATCGTCTTCCATTTCCGGAAAAGTATCATTAAACGTCTGGTTCACGTCACTGGGGTAATTTCCGGCGTCACTCTCATTAACATCGTACGATCCACAATCGGAAGTAGCGACGTCAAACTGTTTTGAAGTGTTGTTGTCGCTGAACACACTCGGAGATGCCTCGTCTGCGGTTTCGTCGTCATTTGTTTTCTCCGTTATCGGCGATAGAGGTTCCAAATTGGGCACAAGATCGTCTTGGTACTTCGCAAAATAATCGCTATCGGTAGCCGCAAAAGTGGGGTCACATTCGAGAGCATCTGATTCGAATTCATGGGTCGCAGGTGCACGTTGCGGAATCGGGGGCGGCGGGAAATCTGGCATCATATACCTAGTAAACACAACCAAATTTAAAAAAAAAAATCAAATATGAGCCAAAACTGATTGATCATAAGCCAAAAAAAATGATGCTTACGTAAGGTGGTGGCGGGGGGGGGGGGGAAGAGTCCAAGTCATTAACGAAAACTTTTTGATAAAAATTACCCAATTTGCGAAACTAGACCTATAGGTAATTTTTAATTTGCTGGGAATCTGATAATATAAACCCATTTTCGAAACTCGAAGTCGATCACGTTTTTCGTGATCTTCACATATTTGTTGTTAGATAGTGCAATTCGGCTTCGTTTCAACAGAAGAAATGAATTGATCTTGAAAAAAATGAAGTCAAACTACAAAAAAAGAGTAAATTTGAGCCTAACAAATTTTCCTGGAAAAAATAATCATCATTACCTACATCAGAGTTTTAACTACGTTCATCGATTCTCAAAAATAAAAAGATGAGAACAAAAGAGGAATGAAGTGGGGCTCAGACCTGTCTGGAATAGGAGGCGGAGTTGACTCCTCTCCGTCCTGAGTGGTCAAGGAGGGTTCCTCCTCAATCGCCGACAAACCTTCCTCATCGTCATCATCCTCACTACTCGACTCCACAGTGCTCTGTGTCGGCACACTATACAGTTGCTCCATTGGAATAGACGGTAAATCGCGCTGAACTGGTTCAAGAGCGATATTCGAAATAACTTCTTGGAATTGAGGTTCAGGTTCAGTTTGTTCCATTATAGGTTCCGGCGGCAAAAAGTCTGCTATGTCTACGTTCTCGTTTTGATTGCCATCATAGTCATAGTCGTTGCTGACTACGGAGTCCAGATGCACCAAAGGAGGCGGTGGCAACTCAGTTGCATCTTCCGCTTCCGGGCGGTACTCGTGATGTGGACTAGCGCTCAAATCTTCAACCTGATCCGATCTCGTATTTTCATCATAATCTAGCAAATCGTCCATCGGAACATTATCATAGCTCGTTTTGTCAGATTCAGTTGTGTTTACATCGTCAACATACATAAGCTTCTCAGGTACTGTAGATGGTGACTCGGTTCCCGTGTTCGGCTCCTCTTCCACATTGAAATGAACAGAGGTTCGGGTCGGATCATCTTCCGAAACCTTGAGTGACGCTTCTTTTATTGCTGCTTCTGCTACATTTTCAGCAGTATCCTGGTAGTTCAGAGGTTCAATCAGCGAGGACCCTCCGCTTGATTGAATTGAATGTCTGTTTTCCTCTGCGTTTGATTTTTCTGTTTCGTCGACTGTCGGCTGGTACACCTCGGTCACTGGTTCCGGCTCACTCTCAACTTGAGACACCGGATCAGGATCATCCGCTTCTTCTGGTTCCGGCTCTGGCTCGTTTTCCTCAATCGGTTCTGGAAAAGAGGGCGAGGGGAGATCAGGACTGAACTCGTGAGCGTGACCTGAGTTGTGTTCCAAGTAGTCAGGGGTCAAAGAATTGACCATGAACTCTGCGCAGTTAGATGATCCGGAATGATACTCAACCTCTGTCGAGTCCAAATCAACAGTTGGTGCATTTGTGTCAACGCTCAGTTCCTCCAACGTATTACTTGCAGTTCCGTTTGGCAGCCGGTCATGTTGGTTCTCCAACTCATTCGCATTGAAGTCTTCATACATCGCAGCGTCGCTTTCAGAATAACGCGCAGAATCATTTTCTATGAAAACTGGTTGGTAAACCCGAGGAGCTATTTGTAATGTTGGCTCATAATTATGACCCTCTCCGTTTATGTATGGTTCATTACTCGGCTCGACATCAGTAGTTATGATTTCCAACGTTTCCATCATACTTGCATTTTGGATCTCTCGTACGTTTTCAATGGATACTTTTGAATCATGTAGCATACCTGATTGCAAATTATCGTGATTTTCATCCTCGAAGTGGGCAGGTTGAACAGCCGTATCTTCGTGGAAAATTTCAGAGGCCGGGTGATCGTCTGTTGTATTGTCGCTGTTAAACGACTCATTTGAGTTCGTGAGTGGAATCATCGCTCCCATTGGCAGTCCATTGGAATCTAATTCAACCGACTGGCCACTTTCATTTTCTTTCGGACCCAACGAACTGCTTTCTGGATTCAGAAGCATTTCTGGGACGCTTTCTTGAACCTTCATTTCAGAAGCTACATTCTCAACTTCCTCTATTTCAGTCCCGTATTCAGCAGCGTATGGTTCTTTCTCGTACGAAATCATAACTTGTTCAGTTGAGAACAGAGGTCTAGGCGCTTCAGGTTCCGAGTGAACAGTTTCATGCTGTTCAAAATGAGATTCTCGGATCTCGGTTTTGTTTTGGAAATGCAGATCGTTTGCTTCTGGTTCTGGTTCCGCTTCCGAGTCACTATAATCTGCAGCTTCATTTTCAATACACACAACGGCGGTTGGTGGGAAACTATCGTCGTCAGTTCTAACTTGAGTCTCGTTTGAACTCTCGTGGTAATACTCGACTCCGTTGAGGACTTTGGCGTCCGGAGAGTATTGCTCACTTTCGGTTCCACTAGGCTGGTATCCCACGGTCTGAGGCGATTCCGCAGCCGAAGCCACCTGAGAGTCTCCTTGATGATGAACTTCAAACATTATCGGTTCCAGCGGACGTTCCGGGATCCACTCGCCGTTCGGCAATGGCGACGGAGTCAGTTCCGAATCTTCGTGCTCCCCATTGCTTTCTCGGTATGCCAAGGGATCCGACTGATCATCGTCGAAATATTCTTCTTCTTCGTCGTTTAGACCAGATGGGAGGTTTGAGTCACTCACCTGAATGCTGACGGGGACACCAATTGGTCTGTAGGGTCCCATGTCCTATAAACAAGAAAACTCTTAATATAGCTGCTTTGATTCATCAACACTACGTCACACAACCTTAAAGTGTTAAAGGAATAACGCAATTAGAGAAGTACCTGAACAAGGGGGGTTTAATCGAATTAAGGCTATGCTAAACTTTGTTGAATCATTTTCAAACGAACTAGCGTGTAACGCACCACCGGTGTTTCGAATTTTTGACAACTCAGGAAAAACCGCATATACAGGAAACCAGATCTGCAGGCTTTTACTGTACTCTGACAGCACCCAATTACATGCTAAGGAATTTCAAATTTTAAAATTTATTCGAAAAAGCACAAAAAACGTCATATGTCGAAAATTACAAGAAGTTGAGCAGTCACACTTGGAGGCAAGATGCGCAACCCCTGAGAGTACCCTCAAATCACAAAACTACAGGGTAAGGCATTTCAAACTTTGAAAACAAAAATTACATCAAATTTTTTGAAAATATTTTGAAAAAATCACAAAAAAACGTCATATCTCGAAAACTACAAAGATTTGAGCAGTCGTAACTGGAGGCAAGGTTCGCAATCCCTGAGAGTACTCTGATAGCCCCATATTACAGGGTTGGAAATTTCAAATTTTGGAGAAAAAAAATCGTTAAGTTTTCTGAATTTTTTTTTGAAAAATCACAAAAACGTCATATCTCGAAAACTACAAGGATTTGAGCAGTCATATTTGAAGGCAAGATTCGCAACTCCTGAGAGTACCCCGACAGCACCCAACGACAAGGTAAGGAATTTCAATTTTGGAAAAAAAAATATTTCAATTTTTTTGAAAATTTTTTGAAAAAATCCATAAAAACGTCATATCTCGAACACAAGGATTTGAGCAGTCATATTTGGAGGCAAGTTTCGCAATTCCTGAGATTACCCTGACAGCACACATCTACAGGTAAAAAGATTTCAAATTTTAAAAACAAAAATTAAATCGTTTTTTGAAAAAAATCACAAAAAACGTCATATCTCGAAAACTACAAAGATTTGAGCAGTCATAATTGGAGGCGAGGTTCGCAACCCCTGGGAGTACTATGATAACCTCCAACTACAGGGTTAGGAATTTCAAATTTAAAAAAAAATCGTTAATTTTTCTGGAGATTTTGTCAAAAACCACAAAAAAATGTCATATCTCGAAAACTACAAGGATTTGAGCTGTCATATTTGGAGGCAAGATTCGCAACTCATGAGAGTACCTTGACAGCACCCAACTAAAGGGTAAGGCGTTTCAAATTTTGAAAACAAAATATACATCAAGTTTTTTTGAAAATTTAAGTTTTAATTTAAGAAAAAAATATATCAGAAATAGAAAAAAGATCGAAAAGAAGGATTGAAAAAGAAATCGAAAAACGATTGAAGAAATTTTAAAAAAAGTTTAAAAAAAGAAATTTAAAAGATTCAAAAAATATACAAAATAGAAAAAAAGATCAAAAAGAAGGATAGAAAAAGATTGAAACAGAAGGATAAAAAAGACAGAAAAAAATAGTAAAAAGATAGAAAAAAAAGATTGAAAAAGAAGGATCGAAAAAGAAGAAACGACAAAAAGATACAGAAAAAGATTTTAAAAAAGATAAGGAAAAAAATCGAAAAAAAGATTGAAAAAGAAGGATCGAAAAAAAAGATTAAAAAAAAGATCGAAAAAGAAGGATTGAAGAAAAATAAAAAAAAGAAAGATAGAAAAAAAAGATGAAAAAAGATCGATAAGATGGAAAGAATGATTGAAAAAAAGATAGAAAAAAAATCGAAAAAGAAGGATCAAAAAGATTGAAATAAAAAGATTAAAAAAAACGATTAAAAATAAAGATAAAAAAATAAAAAGATAGAAAAAAAGATCGAACAAGAAGGATCGAAAAAAAGGGTCGAAAAAAAGATCGAAAAGGAGGATCGAAAAACAATTATAAAAAAAGATAGAAGAAAAAGAAGGATAAAAAAAGACAGAAAAAAAGATTGAAAATCCAGATAAAGAATTGGAGAGAAACGTTTGACAATAGTATTTGAACTGAATCGTCGAAACCAAATTAAACGTTCAAAAAGTAGGAGACGGGTGGACAGACATAATCTAATTAAATGAAAAAGCAGGTATACAGACACAGACTTAATTTAGCCTCGAAAAAAATTACTGAAAAAATATTGACCTTGCGGAAAACTAATTGAAAATTTTTTTAAGCATTGCAATATATGATATAGCTTTGAAGAAATTCTTTCGTTAAACATGCAAAATTATTATGCTTAAACACCGGAGATAGCTGTCACTCGCATTTAAATATAGTATAGGTAGTATAGATATAGATAGATAGATAGATAGATATATAGATAGATAGATAGATAGATATAGATAGATATAGATAGATATAGATAGATAGATAGATAGATAGATAGATAGATAGATAGATATAGATTAAATATAGTATAGATAGATAGATAGATAGATATATAGATTCAAATTTCAGTTCGGTTGTGCGTTCAAAAATGACGCTCAATGTAAATGGCTAATCGGTCAGAGTAAAGGCAGACCAGACCGTTCAGCTTTTTTAACGTAGTCCACTTGTCACGAAATTAGGCTTTTAGGCAATTAGCCATTTTAAAGCTCAAGTTAAAGCTAAAAATTGATTGTGGAGGAAAGAAGGTCGACAAATATTTTACTTCACCTCGACAACGATGCTAGCTCGTCCGTATGCTTGGATGGCGATTGACTGGTGCCGCAGAGTGTGGTACACTTTATAGAGGGGCACAAACACTGTCTGTCCCATCGTGTATTCGTCGTTTGTCAAGGTCGCCCCGCCATAAACACATTCCTCGTACGATGCGGGAGCTGAAAAAAACGTATATTTACCAACTTTCAATTTTTAAGAAAGGGTTTCGAAATTTCGGAAGGTACTTACGACAGTCGACATTTGTGTACACGGGGAAAACCTCTTCCTCTGGTAGTTGTGCTTTTGCTGGAACAGATATCATCAATATAAAATCAGATAGAACCTCCCGTTAGCCCGTAACACTCAAGTCTCATTGCTTCTAATAACAACAGGTTTATCAATTTTTTTCACAGATTATCTATCAACCAAATAAATAGTAGTTGGTTTTTAACAGAACTTGTTCGCAAAAATATACCAATTGATTGGCGAAATTGAGTACAAAATATATCAAAACACCTTCTTCATTCTTACCACTTAAACTTAATCCTCGGTTCATAAATAAGTCACTCAGCTAACATATTTATATTACTGAAGCTGATCTTAGGGAGAGTTGCTAGCTTCATTTGAACTTATAATTATTGCAAATAATTTGATGCCAGATTTGTCATAGAGGGTTGTGATTCTGCTGGAATTAAATTTAAAACCAAAAACTTATAAGACGAACATTTTAAAACAAATTATGCGTTTACTATTTAGTGCGGCTTGAGAAAATACAAAACAGGCATCAGCCTGTCGCCTCTTCTTCTAAATTGAAGAAGGCTGACTTCTCTTACCAGGTGTCTCTGTAGTCTGATTATCCGTCTGCCCTTCGGCGCCCTCGTTGCTCGTCGGGTCATGAGGGGTAGTCGATCTAGCCCCGTGTGTCGTATTCTGGTTCTCATTTGTGCTCAGTGAGGTCGAGGTGCTTTTGTCCACTACACAGCTCACTGCCTCTCCGTAGTAGGCGAAGTAGCTACTGGTCAGAGGTTCGGTTCCCACTAGGACCGGTGTTTCGCAGAAGAGTTTTTTGCCGTTCTTCAAGTAAGCTGTAAACTGAAATACCAAGTTTTTCAAAACTACAGCGCAACAGCTGCCTTTCCAATAACTCTTTTTAGTAATTCACCAATAAGAAACCTTATAGCTGTTTATGACAAATCCCATAAATTTACCGCGACAATGTGCGAATATTTCTTGAAATCGAGACAACGGACCATTTAGAGAGTTCCCCTGAAAATTTTAGGCTATCATATTTATCAGATACAAAATTTTGCACATAAAACCTAACAAACATATGTTCTCTACCATTTAATTAGCACAATCAATTCGGGAAATTAGACCATTATTTTAAAATTAGTTTATTTTAAAGGTCGAAAACATTTCATGAAAAAATAAAACCATAAGATTTCCGTTGTTGGCCCTAGCCAGACAGTTATTTCTACATAATCCATCGACACATTGCCTTCATCAAACAAATCACAGCGGAAAGTAATGTCAAATGTTGTTTTAACATGGTTTAACCTTATTGCCAATTTGCTAATCGCACTCCAAATTAAACAGCACGGCCGTCCAAGATCAAAATGACCCTGCGTTCAAAGTGTACGACTGAACTTCGAGCATAATACATTTTATTCTTATTCCTTCCGGTTTATGGAAAAATTACCTGACCAAAAGCTATTTAGCCCTTTCATAGTGTCAGACCACCATAATACTCACTTCTTTCTTAGTTTATAAACCAAGCGAAGTAAAATCAAGAGCACGCAAAAGTGTTTCAAAGTTCCAAGGTCTTAGATTCCTTTTCTCAAGTCAAAGAACAGGTAGCAGCTTTCACTTTTCGCAATTAATGGACTGTTTGTTTTATTCTGTCTATAAAATTACAAAAATAAAACGAAGTATTGAAATAACAAATCATTAGTCGGTAAATCACGTCTTTAGTTCGACTAATTGAAGGAGCTTCATGAAAGACAAACCCCATACATTCAATTAAGGAACTGTTTAAAAAAAAGAGCTCAAAACAAATCAGAAACAATTTACTCACAAAACAGCTATCACAGGGATCAGGAAAAAAACACGTACAAATTTTGTTCCAACCACTTAAAGTGAGGAGAAACTTAGTCTTCTGGTATGTTTTAGCTTTTTTCCGATGCAAAATCAAGTAACAGAAAAAATCATCAGAAAATACCGAGTGATATATCATAATGAAGCCCTTTCAGTCGTGAATCGAACGACATTAAAAATGTCCTCAGTGAGCAGTTGCTTTTAACTTTAAAAAGCAATTTTTGCTTTTTACTTTAATTTCGAGTGAGCGCAGCGAGCAAGAAATGTCGTTACCCGTAACTCTAGTGTAATGCAAATGTTATTAATAATTCGAGATTTCTATTTTTTTTTCAAGCAACTTTTTCCTTATTTCAAGTTTCATTTTCTATAGAAAAACTTCTACCAGACACAGAAGCAAAAGGTAGCTTTGAATTTTTTGTGATACAAAAATATTGCCAGTAATCATGCGTAGTAATTTAAAAACTAAAACCACCTTAGAAATGTGAGTAACAAAAATTTGCGCCATTCAAAATTTGCTTGGGAAATAAATCTAAAACATAGACAAAAGACAATTAGAACAGAGTCAACAAACGCAAATAATCAAAAAACACTAACTTTTTGAAAAAATTTCAACTTTGGAACTTCCGAGAAAAACATAGATGGCCGTCAAGCTCTTTGAATTTCTGGAACAATTAATGCTTGACATGTTTTTGAACATAGCCAACAGACAGTTGGAAAAGAGCAATTAACACAGAGGTGAAGCGGAGCTTCGCACCACTTGCGATACAACAAACATAAAAAGCGAAAAAAAAATAAAAACGTTTGAAAAAAAACTAGGCCATTAACTTTCATATGTCTCGATAGAAGTTCTTTTCAGGCAAACATGCCAGGAACTTGAATTTTAAATAACCAACAACGGAAAAAAAATTTACGAAAAGAAACAAAGCCAACAATCTTTGAGCTGAAACCACTTGAACCGAAAAAAAAACTATTTTTTGATTTTTTTAAAATCATTCAAGTCCCCCATAAAATTAGAATAAACGACACTTGCACTTAAAACTACAATGAAAATTGTCTACAGCACAAGCAAAATCCGTCGTGGAAATTTGGCCGACAGAACTTCTGCGACAAACGAAAAACCAACAATTAATTTTTCTCGGAATTGTTTTTTTTTTCAATTTCCTGGATACTAAGAAAATGAGGTCCTGCCACGACTTGAACCCCAGATCTTAGGGTACAAAGGCAACTTTTACCTCCAGGCCAAGGGGGAAGCAACCTGGAAGATGTTAAGAGAAGCGAAATGAAAAGAAGTCAACAAGTCTTCGGAAATCGGAAAATTAAATTCAACTTTCAAAACTAGAAATCGATTATTTAGCAAAGGAGAATAACTGATCTTCAAATGAAATTAAAAGTCAAACCTCGAAAAAAAAGAAAAAATTAAAGTAAAAAAAATCATCAAGATCTATAAAAGAGTCATCTATAATACGTTCATCGACTCTTAAAAACAAGTTTCAAACGGACTAACTGAGGCTAAAATATTACAAGAAGATGATATGAATAAAAAAAGTGACACTTGTACCCGATTGCAATATTTTTTTTTCTGCAAATAGAAGGTCGTAGCTGCGTTAGCATCGAAGTTTTCCAAAACCGAGTTTCTCGATAGGCCAGACCACTTAATCTAAGAATTGGCAGGGTAGTTTTCGAGAAAAGTCACAAAAATTTCAAAAAACAGTCAATAAAACAAAAATTTTACATCAGGTTGTTTCGACTGAACCCAAAAACTCAGGTCTTTGTTCTTTCTCATGGTGTTTACAACATAGCCAACCGAAGATTGGAAAAGAGTAATGAGCGCAAGTAAACATAAAAAAAACACTCACTTTGTTAAAAAAAATCTCAACTTTCGAATTTCCAAGAAAATCGATGCCCTTTAGGCTTTTTGAACTTCCAAAACGATTTATGATTGGCATTTTTTTGATAACATTAACCCAACTTGAGAAAACTGGATCAACTGAAAATCAATAAATTAAATTCCACTTTCGAAACTAGAAATCGTTCACGTTTTTCGGGCCATTTCCACGTTCGTATTTGGAGAGTTAGATGAATTTCAATTGAACTCAAAAAGTGCATAAATACCTAAATGCATCCATATTTTATCCTGAAAAAAAAAACAAAAGAAAATCATCACTACAAATAAAAAACGATCATAAACATTGACTTTTCCGAGAACCGTAATTTCTTCTATAAAAAATTTGGTCGTAGACAAATATGCAGGGGGCTTTCCCACAAACCGTTCTTTGGATCGAACCAAAAATCTCAGATTTAGGCGCGTAGTTTTCGATAAAGATCAAAAAGAATAAAACAACAATCAAAAAAATTAAATATTTGTTTTTTTTTCCGAGGACCCTAACTTTTGAGTAAATAAAATGGACTTAGTTAATTATGCAGGGGCGCTTCTTACAACCAGTTGTTTCGATTGAACCCAAAAGCTCACCTTGTATTTGATTTTTTTTATGAAACCAGCAAAATTTAGAAAAATCGCTAAAAAAATTTAATACAAAAGTTCCCAGTAACAAACATTGCACCCAGTAGTTAAATGAGAACTTTCATGAAACTGAGCATGTCAGCAGAATAGCAGCAATTGATTCAACTGAATTTGTTAAACCAATGTCAACACGAAAACATTCGGTGGAGAAGTGGTGAAGGGGAGCGGTGGTGAAGGGGAGCGGTGGTGAAGTGGTTACGTCTCCGCCTCTCAATCGAAAGGTCGGATGTTCGAGGCCCACCATGATCCGTGCTCGTTGCTTGAGGGTGAAGCAACATTACCCAGCCCAGAAAAATAACCAAAAAAAAATAATTGCATATAGTTCTTAAACAGGGGCACAACAGCGGTTCGCCGTGATGAGCTGTACAGCTCTTGTGTTGGTCCTTTCCCCCGTGGATAAATGATCTTAATTAATCATTCCGATTTTGATAACGCTTGCTAATCGCCAGCGTAATAAGTCATTTAGAAGAAAAACCTTTGAATGAATTCGTAATCTTTGTCAAATCTGGTTACCCACAGATGTCACGCACTAACAGTAACAAAGAACTTGCAAGACCGGAACCAGCAACATATTTTGGTGGAAGTTAGAGCATTTTTTAAATTTTACTCCTCAATTTTTAAAAATGTGAAATCTTGTCGTTTTGACAGATTGTTTATGGAAAAAACTTGAATGACGTTTGAAAAGCTTCAACTTTAGATACCATTTCAAGTTTATTTTTGGTTCCAGATTTAGCGTGGAAAAAACACCGAATCCAAACTGCTCTTCAGCTTCCGGTGGTCGGAACAAAAACCATGAAAAAATATACTTCTTTCGTTGCTCACTACTGCCAATTTTCGATTGCCATGGCTTAAAAATTCAACTGAATACCTTTCTTGTCAGGTATCATAGTCTATCCTTAGGCGATTGCATTAACCCCTAACTGTCTTAGTGAATAATAGGGCTCAAACGCTACAATGATGAGCCTTCAAATATTATCATAAAATTTATCCGATCATCCTAATCGTTCATAGAAAAATAATCTATGTTTTCTCAAGATACTTATTCTCCAACAGCCTTAAAAACAGGGAGAAATTTTATCAGCAATGTGAGGGCGGTCCATAAATAGACCATATCATATACATCAGTAGAACGAACCATTCGGGCATTTACAATTCTGGCAGCATGAAAAGGTGAAATATTTGGTCCACACACAAAAAAAAAGAAATCGATTGCGCTTAGAGAGGCATTTCAACGCAGCGAGAAATGATTTTTTCTTCCGCGTAAACAAAAATGGAAAAAGTGAAATACCAAATACCACATAGGGATTTATATAAAAAAAGATGAAAACTCAGAGCGAGAAATACACCGCAATTCACATTTCTGCTACCGAGCAAATAGTTATCGCTTCTTTTAGTAAGCAGGTTTATTACAGCTTGTTTGTTTCAAAAGGACAAAGAAAGGCAATTCCATGCACAGAATTACTTGTGTAGTCATTGTATTAAGTTTTATTTTACATATTTTTTTGAAAATTAGAAGCTTCCAAGCTGCTGCAAAGCTTCAATTTGATGCTGAATAACCTTTACAATGTTCATGTCAACGTACTTTTACCAAGGGATAACTAAATTTGGTTGCTTGATTTAAAATTTCACTTCTGTACGTCTATTCGCCTCTCTACTGCACTCAGCTCATTTGTAATTCACCATTTCCTGTATTATTTATACACCTGAATAAAGCGCCAACGAAGGGCCACTGGGTAATATAAAAACAAGACAAGGCAGCCGAGAAATGGAAGAAAAAATAAGGAAAAGTTGCTAAAGAAAAGAGCAATTGCTGAATTGACATTTCAAAATATACAACTCAATATGTAGGAGACTAAATTACAGCATTACTTACTGCCAAAAAGGAATTATAGCAGACATCAAATTGTAGGAAATGGACCATGTCCTTTGTTCTTTCTCATGGTGTTAAAATAATGCTTCCATTAAGTCCATTTGAAACTTTATAGAAGCCAAGGAAAACCATTTTTAGTCCCCTGCTGAGAACGAAATGTTTTTTTTATTGCGGTATAGACTATATAAGAAGCGAGTTTTTATCATACAAGTAGAAATTATTTATAAGGTCATTCCTAATTCGTCCCTATAACCAAAATTATTTCACATAATTTATTCGCATGAAGTTTGAACTAATTTACTACTGAAAAATTCATGCTGCCAATTTTAGAGCATGTGAAATCTTTTTTCTTCGGGAATAGTAGAAATGAGTAGCAATTTAGAAGGGGATATTGCCTATATAACTCAGCTAACATTTAACCTTTAAAAGCAGGCCAGAATTTATTTCCTGTCTCAGTGTATGGAACTGGCTCGCCAATCCAGTGGAAAAATTGCGGGATTGAGCTTCAAAGGAGGGATCGATTGAAATGGACAAACTTAATATCCACACAGAAACAAAAGCATAGCTAAGCGGCCATAATGTTATCCAAAAATTGTTCAATGGCTATACAAGCAGATCGGTATTAAAAATATATAAACAAATGATAAGTATGTTACCAATCCCAAGCAACGAGGTAATCAAAGACTATCACTTCAAACAATAAATTGAGAAAAGCTTACGGAAAGATATAATTCGTGGCCGCTCTATTTATATTCTTTTCAGATGCTATTTATTAAAAATAGCAATTCATTAAGAATAAAAGTCTTCGTAGAGATCATTCATTCTACCAGTAAATAATAAAAGACCTTACTTTTGCAAAAAAAATTGAAAGCATGAATTTTCCTGATCACTTCCGGTTAAGGAACCAAACAAACTTGGCCTTTCATTTGCTGTAAACACAGATCCGACTCTTTCATGAAACAAAGATCGCCACTTTACTTGAAGAAAAACATATTTACTTTGAGAACACTTGGTTGCACTTCACAAGATATTTGGGTTCCGATTGGAAAATTATTTTCAGAGCCAACAATTAAAAAAAAACTTGCCAGCAGATGGTTTGAAAAGAGTAAAAGATCTGAAGAACACAACTTCAATTTTCGAAGAAAAAATTACATCACAATGAAAGTTCCACGAACTTCAAGCAACTTTTATGATTGAATTATTTTCTTAAAATTATCCCAATTAGAAACAAGACTGCTCTCATCAAAGCGAAGCCCTGAATGCTCGGACTGGCTTTTAACGTCTATGGAGCAGTGATAACATGAAGAAATTAAATTAAAAAAATGAAATGACTTTTTTTAATTTGAGATTTTTTTGCGAAAATCATTCCCCCACACGCCAAATTAAGCAAAAGCTTAATTTTGAAAGTTGTTACTAAGAGCAAAATCAAAGTGATAGATTTTGCTCCTAGTAACAAATCAATTATGGCAAATAAGCTTCCTTCAACCAATTTGGAACGATTTCTAGGACGGACTAAATTTCTGCTTACGCGTTAATAGAGCGAAATATATCGCGCGTTAATTGTCCCAAATTGGCAAAAATGGCAATTTTTAAACCCCATAAATTTACAAAAAATCACAAGTGAAATAACTTTTCAAAATAAAGCTCAGGACAACAGTTATTTTTGAATGATAAAAATTTCGGTCAAAAATGGCTGGCTAAAAAGTCCAATTGTGTCTGAAGAAAAAAAAACTCTGTTACGAAAGTCGGAACAAAAACTGGATCAATGGGTAAGTTTTTTATTCGAAGGAATCTCTGATAGTTTAAATCCAAGTTCAAAAATAAAATTCGATCACGTTTTTGTGACTTTTACACTTTTGCGGTTGATAGTGCAGTTTGCTTTCATTTTAACAAAGGAAATGGACTGAACTTATTCAAGACCTCAAGATAAAGTCACGTATAGTTTATGAACAAACCTGTAGGTTTTTATTAAAAAGAATTATCTGTCTCTTAAGAGTTAATAAGTGTACCCGGTTGCTGTTCGAGTAGCACAGAATATTCGGACCACATTAATTTATACAAAAATTTTCTTTTTTCGGAATTCCCCGTATTTTTAATGGTAGCATTAATGGGTTGACACTATGCTTCGAAATGATACACAGAGGCAAGCTGCGCTTTGCAAACACGTGCGAGAAAACGACAAAAAATGGCTCTATAAAATGAGATAAGAAACAGAATTAAGCCTTCGAACTCAAAAACTAATGCTGTTTCTGATTCAAACCTGCGATCTCGAGATGTGAAGTCTCAAAAATGCCACCAAATATAATTGTACTTAGTCCAGCGTTGAGCCTCCAACCAGTAGATTAGGAGTCAAGTATATTTCCAACTCTGCTACGCTCTCTTAAAGGTCGACAAACTCTAGCCACAAATAACGCAGAGAACAGGTGCTGCGAAATTTCCAGCACTACAGATCGTGATTAAAACCAAAGTGTCACCAAATAAGCACTTTTGTTTGCGAGTTAGATCGGAAAAAAAGTAGTCATACTATTACACTACGCTGGCTAGTATAAAAAGAGAGTAAAAATAGTTGAAACAAGTCTCAGAAGCGAATTTATTTTGACAAGATTTCCACGACACAAACAATTCTGATTATTTTTATGATTTCTCTTTTGAATCAAAATAACGACTGAAGGAGATTTGCTATGATAAATGACCTTCTACGGGTTTCTTTCAGGTAGACAACGTTGAATGATCAAAAAAACATTTCCCACAGTTCCTTATAAGCTACGGCTTATCGGAACTACAGGTAACCGGTTTTTCCCGTTGCCACTACAGTAATCAACGTTAAAAAATGAAAACGAAAATTAATTCCTCTTTTTGAATTAGAAATAATCCACCATTTTTTGAACAGGAAGAGTAAACTGAAACGAAGATACTAACAGTTGCATTTTAATTCAATAAACAGACAAGAATTGAAGCTTAATACCAAAATATTTGTTCAAAGTATTTTTCAACTCAACTTTGCTTAATTTTCTCACTGTACAGGTTATGAAACAAAAGCTAATTATTCAAAAAAATGTATGTACAAAAATATCGAAAAACTTAGATCTACCAAAATTCCGATAAGTTTTTCTGTTTGTCTTTAGAAAACACTCTTCAGCGTTGAATCAGAATTGGAAACACATTACTGAAGCAGTAACTAAGCCGACAATACAGACGAAGTCTTTTGACAAAGTTTTTAACGGGGAAAACATAGCCAACTAGTCGAGAGACTCACGCAAGGAAACTGAAAAAAAAAACGAACGTGTTTTTTCAAAAATCCTTCTAGATGACCTCAAAGCTCTTTGAATTTAAAGAAAAATTCATGGTGGACACTTTTTGTTAAAATTTACCCAATTTGAGAAAACTGGATCAATGGATAAAACTTTTATTTCGCTGGGAAATCTGATAATTAATTTACATTTTCGAAATAAGAAGTCGATCACGTTTTTCGTGAGCTTTACACTTTTGCTGTTCGATAGTGGAGTTAGCCTTCCTTTTAGCAATGGAAATGCATTGAACTTTAAAAATGACAAGTCAAACAGCGAAAAATCGAAATAGAGCGTGAACAAATTTTAAGACTTTTCCCTGAAAAAAAAAAACAAAAAATCACCAAGACCTATATAAGAGTACTGACTGCGTTCACTCTTCAACACCTTTTACCCTGTTGCTATAACTTTCCTTGTCGCAATGGTGATAATACACAGAGTCCAAGCTGCACTTCACAATGTCAAGCGAGCAAGCGGAAAAAGTAGCTCCAAAAGGCCAAAAACAAAAAAATAATAAAGTAAAAAACAAGCCTTGAAAATCTAACTTTCGCTATGTGCCGGAATCGAGCACCCGACCGGGATATATTAAGTTTCGTGTCCTCGCATCTGCGCCACGATCGCTTAAAAAAAACCGATGACTGGCCACCAAAAAGCAGCTACAGTTGCTTAGTAGTATTACACTACCTTCCGCGTGTGTAGATAAGCCTTCTTATTAACCAACGCTCTGACTTGAGTTTGTCCAGTTCTGGCGCGCTTTGATAAACTAAGGCAGGTAGGATATCTTACTCTAACTAAGTATTGCACTTCGATAATATTGCATGCGTCCAGTCTGCTGGGCGGGACAGGGGGTACAATCACTGGCACATTGTTCCAGTGCACAATAGAGTGGCCTCCACATCCCTCACCTCTCACACTTTGCACTATCTTCATCGTTCTTCTGGTCTTGCTCTGCACACCACCTATCAGTGGCTTCTTGTTGCCCAGGTAGTTGATCACCTGTATATATATTTTTTCTGAATTCGAATCAATAGACTGATATTATTGATTTTTGTTATTTGCTAGGGATGTATATCATTTGGGTGACTCCAAACTAAATATCTTAAGGACTCAAATCATACTAGAATAAAAGTCAGCTTGAAAGGATTTCGAATATATTTTAGATTACTTAATTTTTCACATTGAGCCGCGGATCTGTACACACAACATATCTACATACATACCTGCAATAAGTCGACTGAAGTCCGTAGAATTTTTCGGCTCGTTCCATTTTCACATTTTGCGTTCACGATTATACTCTCTCCAGGACAATAGCCAGCTCTCTCCAAGTCTAGAAAACACTTAATTCAGCAACGCATTTTACTTAAACATGTTCTTTTAGTGATTATTTATTTTATTAGTACCAAGCGAGAGACTGTGAGCTTCTGTTCGACATACGCAGCTCTTGGAGCGAACTTTGTTGACGGAAGAAGTACTTTTCTGTTCTTGAGCGGAGTTTTCCTGGTTCAAATCCATAGTTTTCAACACAGTAATTGGCTTCAAAGTCCATTGGTTCTTCTTCATGGGTCGGTCCACGACAGCTCGAATGCAGTATCTAAATCACCAAATCAATTGTCACCCAAATATAGATCTATAACGAATAACTTTATCGCGCAACCTGGTAGTCGCCATACCTGACATAACCATAGGCACCCTCAATTGAAGTAGGCAGGTCGATTCCGCCATCATCTGCTGAAGGCAGCACGTAGCTGAATTCGAATACGTGGTCGCCTTTTTGTAACCCCACGTTTTTTGCCTTAGTATCATGCTCATCTGCAGAAAAAAAGACTTGATAAAACCAGTTATGTAAAAATCATTTTAAAAAATAAATGACTAACCTTTTCCGAGGAGTGTCTGCTTGTAATCAATGTATTTTTCATATGATTTGTAAATGTAAGACGAGTTAGCGCTAGTGGTGGATTTCTTTCCAAACTCCCATCTGCTGAAGCTCTCACCAACGATGTTGAGCCGCAAACCTGTTTAAAAACTCCACAATGAACAATTTTGAAGGAAATGGGAAAGTTCTGGTGAGTTAAAATGGTGAATACCTCTTATTCTGATGGACTTTGCCAGCCGTAGAATAATTCGTCCGGAAATTTCATCTCCTGGTTTATATACAGCGACAGAATTATTCAAGTCGACAATGAATTGCTGAATTCGCATTTTGCGTGCAGTAAATAATCAGCGCGAATAATTTATATTAAAAACAAATATATGATACATAAATCTAGAAAAGATTTGAACGTAAATCCTCAACAACAACAACAAAAAGGAGTCAATTGACAAACAAAAGATCCTTTCATTATGCGGCAGGTTGGATATGGTCACTCTTAATTTGGAAAAATACATGAGCAAAAAACTTAAATAAGCACGTACTAAATAAGTGTGCCATTCTGCCAGATGACATAGCACAACCTTCCGGCGACATAAAAAAGAGTGACTAAAGGCCTTATGAACAAAAAAGTGTTGCGACGGAGGGTCAGAATGTTCTAGAATTTTTATTTTTAAAATTTCGATTGGAAGAAGAACATTTCTGAGAAATAGAAAAAAGACGGCCATTTTGAATAAGAAAGACGAAAATCAGAACCACGATAGAGATTGTGAAGAACAGTTGTATCAGAGACAGAAAAACACGGAGCCTCTTATCGTGGCAAAAACACACGATAAGGACCTTAGCGACAGATATTTGTGGAGACGGAGGCTTCAGTGGGGGGAAGAGAAATACCACGGAACCCTCCCGGGACACGAAATATAGGAGATAAGAGTGTTATCTCAAGAAAATCACGGGAGCGGAGGCTTGGTCCCCCAGAGATTGTTATATGTGAAGGGACTGTGAAAACTGACTATAACAGCTGCTGTTATGTCCTAGATCTTAATTAAACACCGATATTATTTGATATTTCAGGACATGAGTAGATAGAAAAAGGGAAAGGGTCAATCCATCTCCAATGGATTTAATATAAAACTGTCACACAAAAACATAATAAAATAGGTTGTTCGAGCCGTGTTTTTAATGACAATAACGTAGTCTGAGGATCCGAGACTCAGCTATGTGGTTGTGTTCGCATGCAAACGAAAGCTGATCAAAAGTCGTTTGACTGATGGCCTAAAAATGGTAACTTTTTACTTTGCCCTAAACAGACCAGAAAATCAACTGGCAAGGTCGAGACGGTGAAAAACGAGTAGGATTAAGGTAACTGACGCCTGCCAGTCGTTAATAGGTACTTTTTCTACGCTCCGTCGCTGTGTGATATTTGGGTGAATGTTACATAGACGTTTTTATGGCGCTCCTGGGTGGGCCTGTTAAAGGCATGAAACCGTCATGATCAGCAAGCGTTTCAGCGACGAACCCTCCGCTCCGGGCGTATGCCCGAGTTAGAGGTCTTAATGACCGTTATTGTACTAGGGGGAAGGTGCGTACCCTCCGTCTAGTACAATTTAGCTTTTTAACTTAGTTAACACCGAAAATTCCGGGGGCCGGAGGGTTAGGTGGGAAGTCATGAACCCGCTTGTCCCGAGGTCCCGGGACCGAAAACAACTAAAGAGAAAGCGTAAAACCAAACAAAAACAGTGTATAACCAAGAAAAAGCCAAAAACATAATTATTTAAAAACAAAAAAGTACAAAAAACAGTAAAAAAATCCAAAAAAGACCAAAAACAGTAAAAAACATAAAGTGACAGTTTATATGTTATTTCCGGACGAGATGTGATCTGACCTTCCTATTTGTTGTTGTTTCAGATTGATTTATATCGTTTCTGATAGAAAGATCGTGTGTTTTGGTGAAGGGTTGGATACCCTCCCTCGAGTGTAATTTGAGTGTTTAAGCACGTTAATGGTGATTTTGCCGGTGGCCGGAGGGTAGAGTGGCAAGCTGATCAGCGTGTTCCACACTCAACAGGGACATCAAGGACAACATCCGCAACGACTGTTGGGTATCGTTGAAGCAATTTTAGTATCGTTCGGGTACTGTTTCATTAAAACTTAAGTGGTGGGGTCCGATTGTACCCTCCATCGATTACAAATTTCCGAGTTAAGGGTCTTAATTCGGATATTTTGGTGCAAAGGAGGGTATAGTACTATTCATTGACGACTATTAATAGATTATTATCCCTATTATGTATTACTTATCTCCTAGTTAGACCCAAGAAACACCCATTTTTTGTCGAAAATTACCAATTTTCGACCAAACTGTAGACCCCAAATTTTCGGATATCCGAGCTTTTCCGATAGGCAAAAAGCTTTTATATAGGGAGTAGCTACGTAGTTCGATCCCCCTAACTAAAGAAACCGCGTGAGAAAAGACTCAGTAGAAGTTGGAAAAAAACAAAATTTTTCGATCAAAATTTTGATAATTTTTTGTATTTTGTCAATCTGTTTTGGGGATCGAGTTTTTGAGTTTTTAGAGCTAGAGCAATAAAAATTTTTGCGTTAGGAGCGTGCTAGCATAACGTGCTCGGTTACTAGAGAAATTTTTGGGTAACCCTACGAGTAGCTCCGTGGATAGAGCTAACGACTTAAGGTTTGGAAAAGCAAGGAATCGGAGGGTCCAAATTTGATAGTTTTTGGCCAAATTTTTGTTTCTAAACCAATTTTGGTCCGGTTTTTTTGCATTATTCCAGTGCCGTACAGGGCTGCTACGCTCATTTCAAGTGTTTTTAGGCACTTTCGACCGGAATTGCGGAAAAAGTCTTTCAGAACCTATATAGGTGGTGAAAATAGGCCACTTTGACGAACGCGTTTTTGGCGATTTTTCAAAGACTAGTTATCCGATCGGGATAATTTTGGTACCATAAGTCGACGTTTTTGACCACTTTTCTGAATCGCAACCGTTTTTGGGTTGATTATTTCGGAAAAGAAAATTTTTTTAGAATTTGTTGGTTCGGAGGGTCCAAATCACGGGCAACCCTCCGAGCGGCAGAAAATTTTATCAAAACATCTTTTTATTCAACTGGGAAGTTTGACCGTGTCAGCCAACCTAGTTTTAAGTCAGGTAGACCGCTTTCAGAGGCTTTACTGCGGTGATATAACCCTTTTTCTTGATTTTGGGGGAACCCTCCGAAGTGACCCTCCGGAGTCAGCTAAACCCTTTAGCAACCCTCCTTAGTGGAAAATTTCCACGAGATCACCCTAAGAAGTTAAAACAGCTCCCCTTAGAGCTCCTAGCTTGTTTTGACGCTTTTTGAAGCGAGGGGGAGAACCTTCTAAGCGAGATCGAAAAATTTGAAAATTTTTGAGGTACCCTCCGAAGTAACCCTCCGGAGCATATTAAGCATCTTATTGACCCTCCTTAGTAAATTTAGGGGGACCCTCCGAGGTAACTTGGGTGATTAAGGTACCCTCCGAAGTAACTTGGGTGATCAAGGCACCCTCCGAGGTAACCCTCCGGAGTGTCTTAAACCTTCTAACGATCTTCCTTGTTAGAGACTTGAGTAAACTTTCTGTGGCAATTTGGGAAACGGAAAATATCCATTTAATTAAGATCATATTAGGATATTAGGCGTGCTTATCAGGATCATAAGAACTCATTCTGACCCGGAAATTCGTGATCAACTTTGGATTCTACATTGGGTGTATCAGAAGTACCCGAACAAAGAATTTTTTTTTGATTGTGATTTAGGTTGTGTGGTTGCCTTGAGCTACTTAATAGGAAAGTTCGGGCAATCCGGGAACAAATAAAAGAAGACCTCGGTGAGTGTATTAGGCAAATACACACTCACTTGAGAAGAAAAGTTGTTCCCTGCTCTCGTGCACTTGGAGCGTTCCGGGTGTGGGGGAGCTTTTTCATAGACTTTTGAAGAATTTTCGATCAGAGGTTGCCTTGAGCTACTTAGTAGGACAGCTCGGGCAATCGCAGGACACCTAAAAGAAGACCTCGGTGGGTGTATTAGGCAGACACACACCCACTTGAGAAGACTGTGTCCTGGGCTTCGTTCTTTCGGATCGTTCCGATTGGGGGAAGTCTTTTTCTTTAAGACTAAGTTTTATTAATCTATTTCTGAATCATTACTGCTTTTTATCAAAGATTGTTTAATTTTAACAAAGCAGTGACTTGATAAATTGTGTGGCGATAAATTGATACTGACAAAAGGTCGCTGTCACCTGTGAGATATTCTTATCTGATTATCGATTGTGTTTTGTGTGTCGATTATATCTTGTGGAAACTTAGTGATACTGTTATACTATACAACCGGGTTGAGTTAGCATTATATCAATACTGGGTAGACCCTGTGTGTAACCTTAGCTGAGCCACTGATTTAGTCGTGAGAGATCTAAGAGACATTTTGATACTGACGGAATCGAGTAGGCAGCGTTAAGTGATTTAACTAAATCTTGTTTGTGGTACGTTTGCATTGCCATCAAATTACGAATACTTTCATTTTGTTAAAAACTATGCAGTGCAGGGACTCGCTAGGATCGACTACTAAAATTCCCAGGCTAAGCAAGGGAAGCACGCGGAAGTTTAGAACTAGGCGTAGCCAAACCTCGTTTAGCAGCGCTTCCGACGCGTTTGCTGAAGACGAATCGACTAAAGGTCAACCTGATCTTTCAGTGAGCGAAATGAAACTAAGGAGCGAGAAAAACCTCGATGGCAATCAAAGGCGGAGCGCCGAGGCCGAGCCTGCGAGCGAAACGCTGGTGGATCCCTTTGACGAAGGGGAGCGAACGCTCATTCGACCCGACTTTGAGCCAGACGAGGTCCTCGAACGGGAGGAAGCCGAGAGGACAGAGGAGACCTCGGAGCGTCCCGAGGTCGAACCTCGGGAGGAAGTGTTGTACAGGGGAATGTCCAAATCAGAGACTAAGAGCTATAAATGGAGAAAGGAACCTTCACATCTGACAAGTGCACACTCATCCTTGGCCAAACAGAGCAACAACGCGATGATGTCGAGTATGAGTCCGGGTGAAGAGCAGACGTTCTCGAAGGCCAAGAAGAGTTGGAAGTCCTTGTACGACGAACGCATGGCGTCACTACCAACTGTAGGTTTGACTTCCAGTGATGACTACCCGGAGATAACCCATCCGGATGTGAACTTCACACCGTGCCCAAGGAATGATATGAGCAGGAAGGCGTCATCAACCTCGCCGACCAGGCCCATGTCAGATGGGATAACGATGGGAGCGTCGTCAACCTTCGACAGATTAATGACGTCGATGAGCAAGCAAAGAGGCGGTGCGTCATCAAGCACCAGGCTGCAGCCGCCGTTGACCTCATCTTCTCTGGG